AAAATTTGCTTGCAAATTTGCTTGCAAACTCACAAAATTAATTCACAACACACCATGTATGTAAATATTGAATTTTTTTATTAAAAAAGAGAGCAACTTTTACCCAAAATCAGGCAAAGCAGGGAGGCAGATTGAGTTGCTCACAGAATCATTCAGTGATCTATCTATCTGCCATCGGCTACCTGAGTCTGTCGCATAAAATTTGCTTGCCATGAGTCTGCAGTGAATAATAGAACCCTCAGTCCTAAGGGAGGTTCGGCTGTGCCTAAAAGCAGAGCCAAAGATCTAAAGACTAGCTAGAAAGCAAGAAATGCAACCATTTCCTGCTTTCTAACTAATCTAAATCTCCTGGCACAGCAGAACAGCTGATGGCCGGGAAAATAAAAAATAAAAAAGGAAAAATAGCAACTTAGCAGGCAAGTTTGCCAGGTAAGGAGTGGACGGGGAGGGTTCCCGCAGGCCATGTGGGTGGCGCAGCCTTGTCTTCCTGCGCAGCCTGAATTAATTGCTTTGGGGGATGCTCTGAGGGTGACATTTCTCTGCAGCCCACCAAAATTTTCTCACGGACCACCGGTGGGCAACGGACCACCAGTTGGCGACCACTGCTCCAGGACATGCTTGTCCCAAAGGTGCTTTTTTTTCCACAAAAGGCAACTGGCCTTTTAAATTTTGCTAGAAGACACAGGAAACCCATTTGTCTCCAATTGTATAAGGTCTCCTACTTGGACTAGAACAGTGGTCACCAACCAGTGGGCCGGGGACCACGAGCAAATTTTGGTGGTCTGCAGAGAAATGTCACCCCCAAAGCAATTAATCCAGGCTGTGCCGCCCACATGGCCCGCGGAAACACAAGGCTTGTGTCGCTTGCATTGCGAACGCGAGGTAGTGAGGGGAGGGGGGAAGGGGGGAGGGGGAGAATTTGCCCCACTTGCCCCATGTGCCTCACCTGGTCACCGGTGGCTGCTTCTTTCCACTTCTTTCTTCTTCTGCTTTTGGCTGCACGCAAGGAAAGCAGCAAAAGTCTTTCTTTCTCTCCCCCAAACTCTGCCAGAAATGAGTCTTTGGGACGCTTCAAGGCATCCTGCTCCAAGAGGCTGCGCCAGCAAAGACTCGTTTCTGGTGGAGTTTGGGGGAGAGAAAGAAAGGCTTCTGCTGCTTTCCTTGCATGAAGCCAAAAGTCTCTTTCTCTCTCTCTCTCCCCCTGAGAACGGAGCTGGAGACGGTATCCTGCGATCCCAAATAAAGAAAGATCAATTGGTAGGAAAACGGGATGGGGAATTTTCCTGCAGACTTTTGGGGGGATTTTTCCAGGCTCTCTGGTCCGCAGGATTTAAAATGATGAGTTTGGTGGTCCCTGAGGTCCAAAAGGTTGGCGACCCCTGGCCTAGAAGACCTGCCAGGTCCCTTCCAACTCTATTCTGATTGACTGATAGAAGTTTCTGCTTGAGTGAAAAGTGAAAGTTTAAGTCCAATTGCCTTTTGAAAAAGCACTTTTGGGATAGCCATGATCTAGATGACTGAGAATCTCCACAGACAAAATTCTGAAGATTGAAATCCACGCATCTTAAAAATCGCTCAGGTTCAAGGAGTCTATTTTAGAAAGCAGAAGGTCAAGCCTCAAGCTGCTGCTATCAGGTCAGAGGACTTCCTTGGTGGGGCATTTTATTTTGTCTTTTTGAGTTCTTAGTTTGCATGTGGAATCTGTTTTTTGTTTTGTTTTCAACCCGTGTCCCTGAGGGCTCGAGAGATTGAAGAGAATCAGTGCGCTATGCCTCTGAAGAATGAGGTGATGTTTTGGTTTGTTAGGTGCTGGTCATCTCTCTCTGCCACACAGAGATAAGGAGGCCTTCTGCAGTGAAAGAGGGGCTCCTACGGCGCCAACATCTTGAGATCTTGGTGGATCTTCCTTACACTACTTCCATCCCTGGATTCTCATTGTGACACTGAGATAGATTATAGAATATTATTTATTGGGAAAGAGAGAGAGAGAGAGAAGGAGGGAGGGAGAGAGGAGAGAGAAGGAAGGAAGGAAATAGAGTGGAAAGAGAAAAGAAAGAAAGAAAGAAAGAAAGAAGAAAGAAAGAAAGAAAGAAAGAAAGAAAGAAGAAAGAAAGAAAGAAAGAAAGAAAGAAAGAAAGAAAGAAAGAAAGAAAGAAAGAAAGAAAGAAAGAAAGAGGGAGGGAGGAAAGAGGAGAGAGAAGGAAGGAAATAGAGAAGGGAAAGAAAGAAAGAGAAAGAAAGAAAGAAAGAAAGAAAGAAAGAAAGAAAGAAAGAAAGA